CAGAGGGATGATCAGCATCCCTTCCATGATCGTCCTAGGCACATAGAAGAAACATATAAGTCTGGAACACATGGGACACATGGTGGAGGGGTAAGGAATGGGGACAGAAACTACCAAAGGCTGTAAAAGAGATTGAGCGGCTTCACACCTGCTAGAGTCACTTCTACTAAAAAGCAGACATTCTGCAGAGAAAATGTAAAAAAACTCCAAGCAGTGGTAGTGGCTAGGAGTCTCTTTACAGGTCGGTGCTGTCTCCAACATATGACTTATGTCAGCAGCAGTGAAAGGGTCAAAGTTTTGATATGATGGCCAGGCAACTACCTTTTTTAGAAGGAGAAGACAGCAATAGTAGCCTCTGTTTCTTCCCTGTGACAGGTGTGCTTCAATACTTGATAAGAATTTAAATAACTCACCACCTGTTCCTTTGACTATACTTATTGGTTCCAAATATTGAGAATAGAAGCAGATTTGAATGGTACACAATTTAATCTTATTAAATCATACTGTATTATTTATCCCAAGTTTAAAGTAATTTAGTAAATCATATAGTAATGAGGACAATGCTAGAAATCACAATGTTATGCATAAAATCATAGAAGGGATCATCAGCAGGAGGAAGATGGATTCCTCTACATACAGTAAATCTTTAGTTAGTACTAGTGGGGTCAACAGCTAGAGGAAGGAGGTCCTGATTCCTCCATATAGATCTTTAGCTATCACTAGAGGGATCACCAGTTGGAGGAAGGAGGTCCTGACTCCACTATATGAATCGTTAGTTATCAGAGGAGGAATAACCAGCAGGAGGAAGGAGGTTCTGATTCTCCTAGATAAATCTTTAGTTACCACAGGAGGGACAAAGAGTGGCCCTGATTCCCCTATTTAGATTTTTAGTTTTCACTAGAGTGATCACCAATGGCAGGAAGGAGGTCCTGATTACTCTCAGTAGATTGTTAGTTATCACTAGAGGGGCCACCTGCAAGAGGAAGGAGGTCCTAATTCCTCCATATAGATCTTTAGTTATCTCTAGAGGGGTCACCAGCAAGAGGAAGACGGTCCTGATTCCTTTATATAGATTTTTAGTTATCACTAGAAGGATCACCAGTAGGAGGAAGACGGTCCTGATTCCTTTAAATAGATTTTTAGTTATCACTAAAATGATCACCAGTAGGAGGAAGGAGGTCCTGATTCCCCTATTTAGACTTTTAGTTATAAATAGAAGGATCAGCAGCAGGAAGAAGGAAACCCTGATTACTCTATGTACGTCTTAACACTAAAGGGGTCACCAGCAAGAGGAAAGAGGTCCTGATTCCTCTATATAGATCTTTAGTTATCACTATAGGGGTCACAAGCAGGAGGAAGGAGGTCCTGATTCCCCAATTTAAATTTTTAGGTATAACTAGAAGGATCGCCAGCAGGAAGAAGGAGGTTCTGATTCCGCTATGTAGACCTTTAGATATCACTAAAGGGTTCACCAGCAAGAGAAAGAGGTCCTGATTCCTCTATGTAAGTCTTACGTTACCACTTGAGGAATCATCAGCAGAATGAAAAAGGTCCTGATACCTATATATAAATCTTTAGCTATCACTAGAGGGATCGCCAGCTGGAGGAAGGAGGTCCTAATTTCCTTATATAGCTCTTTAGTTACAGTATATCACTAAAGGGATTACCAGCAGTCAGAAGGAGGTCCTGATTCCCCGATATAGATCTTTAATAACCACTAGAGGGGTCAACAGCAGGAGGAGCGATGTCCTGAATACTCTATATAGATCTTTAGTTAGACCTCATTTAGAATACTGTGTCCAGTTCTGGAGACATCACTTACAAAAAAATATTGATAAGACAGAAGGAGTGTGGAGATGGGTCACCAAAATGGTGAAATGTCTGACGGTTAAATCATATTAGGAGTGACTTCATGACCTTAATACAGTATGTACTGTACAGTCCTGCGGAGATAAGGGAAGGTGGAGACAGGATTGAAATCTTTAAAAACACTAAGGGTGTGAATAGGAACAGGAACAGGAACACTGAGACATGACCTCAAACTAGTAGGAGGAAAGTTCAAAACTAACCTTAGAAAGTATTTTACAGAAAGAAAATGTGATTCTTGAATTAAACGTCTAGTAGAAGTAGCAGTGATTGAGTTTGAACATGCTTGGGACAAACATAGATCTATACTTAGACAAAAAAGCGAATAAATTAACAAAAAAAACTGGAGTAGACTCAGTGGACCACTTAGTCTTTATCTTCTGTAATTTTGTATGTTTCTATATGTTACTGATATATAATTTTTTTACCTCTACTTTTGAATATAAAAAAGAAGGTATGGTTCTCACTAAAATTTTCCAGCTGTCTGAAGGCATAAGATACAGCTCAATGCTTTCAATGTTAGCTCAGTTCATAGACTGGAAAAAAAACATAATTATGACAGTAGTTTGTCCATACAAAGGACAGCATTAAAAAAACATTACAGCAGACAAATTGTGATATAACTAAACGCATAAAGCTACTAAAAAAAATTCCTCTACGTAGCCCTGAGAAACTTGTGCTTCACTGTACGATCAGAACATGCATTTTACAATCTAATTAAATATAATAATAGAGTGTGTACTTTATCCAATCACTGTTTCATTAAACCTTCACCAGTCTTGTGGCTGAATTACTGTACATTTGACATCATTCCATATGTCTTCAGGTTCAGATAATCCTATGTACTATAGATGAGGAAGAGAACTCAGGTTTGAAGCCACAACATTCTCTTCTTCTGTGCATAATAAAATCCACACACGGTTCAATTTCTTACCTGATTGATGTCCAGTTGGATCAAAACAATAGAATCCGCAAATGATCAAATAGTCATAATTTTCCTTCGGATCAGTTTAGACTTAATTTAGATCAGATTTGATCAAACAGAGTTGGTTGACCAAGGTGCAATATTAGTGATCATTTTGCATCAATTAAGCAGCATTGAGAAACTTTGTTGATTGATCAGATCATGAGATTACATGGTGGAAATCAATAACAGGTTATGATTGTATCTTAGCTATCTGTTAAAATTTACTTCCCCATGTGTGACATATTGATCAAATGGGTTGTCAACTATAGACTGATTATTCCTATCAGAAGAGATCATTTTGGGAAGAGAAATCAATCATTTATCAAGGCAAGTATGGCCACCATAATGGTCAGTACAGTACATTATATATATTTACCAAGAGGTACAGCATCATAAAATCTTCAACATGTCTTTTCTGAGTGTTTAGATCAGCCTTTCTTAACTTTTTTACCACAGAGCAACTCTTGAAATAATTTTAAGGTCTCAGGGAAACGCTTGCAAAAAAAACAAATAATTGGTGGTCAGTGGAAAAAAAATGCCTCTTTCATCAGTGGAAAAAATGCCTCTTTCATTGGTGGCTAAGGAGAACAATGTTCTTCCTTACAGTGGTGGTCAGAATGTCACCCTTACAGTTAAAAAGTTCATGAAACAGGCACTGAACCCAGAACTGTGAGGGCACCATCAAAAGGGAGGTCTGTCCGTCACAACTCAAGGAACCCCTAGCAACCTCTAGAGGAAACATAGGGCTCCATGGAACCCTGATTGAGAATGGCTGGTTTAGATATTTGAATATCATACCTGTCATTCCTAAGAAATCTGATATGCTGTTTATGTAACATTTTATCAAACAATGCATCACAATAAAACTGTAAATAGATATCTTTTTAAAATTATTTTAGGATTAAGAGCACATGTAGATGGGCATTCTTGGCAAACTCATCACTGTTTAAAATGCACGCAAATAAAGCAAAAGGAAGCATTTGACAAGGAATAACTATCTTTAATCTGCTTTGCTTACAATCCAAATACACCTCAATAGGATCTGCTGCTTCCTTATACTGACCATACCCTAAACCATATGATTGTACATCCTCCTTTACATGTACATCAACTTTGCAGTGCAGGGGATTGCTTGACTTGATACTATTTGAATCGAAAGTTTAGGTTTGTGCATAGAATACATGGTTTTGTCAAATCTAAAGGAGATTGTTGGTCACATACAGCCTCTGAACTGTCATCTACACTATTTTATTGAAGTTATTCAGAAACTGTTCACCTGCCTGTGAAGCACATCAAACATTGGAAAACAATGCCCATGTACACAGGTCCTATCAGTGTTTATATGTGTTTCTCCGCAGCCGTTGAAATGATCTTTGCAAAGTTTACAGCAAAGCATTTCACACTGGATGTACTAAATTTTTAATGGGGGGGGGGGGTCATATTTAACTTTGGTGGTTCTCCATTTACTGACTGTATGGTTTTCAGAGAGGATAGTCAGCATCCTTGCTTAAAGTGTTTGTAACTAAAACTTTTGTTTTGTTTTGGATAAAGTTGCATCTCTGGGGCAGAAAAGGAAAGGAAATAACCCCAATGGCTTTACATATACTTTATTGGCTGCTGAGTTTAAAACAATTACAGGACATGTTGCTTTGATATTTGATGTTTACTATATATTATGGGTCTGAGCATGACACATAAGGGCTTGTTTATTTAGGAAAAACGGTGAACCCATGTTCACTTTGACCATCTAATCACGTCCACTGGATATTTAGAAAACAGGATTGTTGCTGGCACATGATTAGTTAGTTGGTTGGTTGGTTAATTGGTTGACGTGAACACTTCATAAGTGAAAAGCCTTGACTCCTGTTGTCAATTAACTTCACTTGTAGTTAGACAACAAGTACAGTAAAGCACACTCATTGTGCAGTACTACTAAACAGGAAGCACACTATGTGACTAGGATACAATGCTACCCATGGGTACACATATAACTTCAAAAGTACATGGAGCAGAGTGCAACCAGAATTCACTCTGCTAAACACAGACCAGTATAAAATTACGTCTTATAAATTGGTATGGGTTACTGTTATTAAGAACTAGCACTTAAATCCTTGTCCTCCTTGATCGAATGGGGCTGAAGAATTGTAAAACTTTACATGAACAACATTCAGTAGGGGGCCCCATGAGATGCCCCTGGTACCTTTTTCATAGGCTTTTTTGATTTTGGGCAAGGACACATGATCCCCTATTGCCCGGGGGCCCCATGAGTTGTCAGTCCGCCCCTGCTATAGAGTCATAATCTGTATGGCGTTTGTACACTCTTCATATGTGAACTTGGGTTTCTCTCTAGGTTTTTGGTTTCCTCCCACCAAGCAAAAACATACTGCTAGTTTAAAAGGCAGCAGATGTACTATATCTTGCACTAGAATGTGTATGACTGTGAGGGTATAAAGGAAGAAACACACTCCTAGTTGATTTAGAATAGCACCAAGATGCACTAAGGAAATGCAGCTCCAACAAACGTGTGTCAGCGCGCTATAACGCACATTAATGTACTACCACGTGTTATGGTATGCTGCAATGTTTCAGGATTTACCACATCACTTCTGGGATCACTGCATGGGGTGATGTCACTTCCTGTAGCTCCAGTCTGATGCATTTCATCATCCTGACGAAACGTGTTGGAGTGGAGATACAGAAGTGGCATCATCCAGCACAGTACAGATCTGTAATCAGGAGCTGAGCTCCTACAGCAGATAGTGGAGTCGGTTCCCAAGAGAAAACATGCTGTTAATACCGCAGGGCATGTGTACCCTACAATGTGAGTGAGCATTTCTGTTATTTTAATGGGCAAGTTTTAATAAATGGTTTTACACTATAGAGTCCTTTTTGTTTCTTCTCTATGATACCTATGGTATGAGATAACTGGCAAAGGAGTGGAAGTGGTCCTGGATGGTGTAATCCCTGGGGGATAAAAAAATGTTTAATGACCAGTGGATGTTAGGGCAAATCTGGTGAGTTCTCTGGTGTGGTGGTGGAGGATCAATCTTGTGTGCAGCATAGAGAGTCTTAATTGTGATTGTCAGAAGAAGAATCATACAGCACTGCGCACCTTTGAGAGGAAGGACATGCAATCAGAAAAAAACATGTATATACAAGCTTCTACGCTGTTGTTAAAATGTTAATTACTCTCTACTATAAATATAATAGAGAAAATGTCTCACGTCGGTTTTTGATACTGTGTTATAACCAGACAGAAGTTCTCTACCACTTTATCCTAAAGTTAAAATGTTTTGACCATTGGTCCTTTTGCTCATGGTAGCTTTAAAAAAGAGGTCTCACTTCCATTTTTATGTATGTGTTCTGTGCCCCAGGGACAAAGTATATGTAGTACTTTGCTCCATCTTTCTATATACTGTCTAAGACTAGCTGTGAAGTTGGACAGGGCACCCCTCCCTGCCCAGTAACGCAGCTAACAAGGAGATGACTACACTTTTCTCCATCTCCAAGCACTTGCTCAAGGCAAACATCTCACATTGAAGAGGGGCTTGTCAGCTAAAATGTTCCAGCAAGCGAGCAAGTGCTTAGATATAGAAAAATGTGTCATCTGTCAAAGTAGCCATCCCTTTGCTAGCTGTGTTGTCGGATGACAGTGTAGGGTGGAGGGATGTCCTCTCTGACCTCACAGCTAGCCTTAGGCAGCAAATAGAAAATAGGACCGAGTACTACATATACTTTTCCCCCCTGAGCAGCAGAATCCATGAATAAAAATGGAAATGAGGCTTCTTTCTGTTTTTATTTCCTATAATAAATTAATTTAAAAAATTTTTTTATAATAATTTTACAAGTAATGGGATTAAACCACAAAATCCAAGACGCAAAAAAAGGTAAAAGAAAAATACCTGAAAAGAAATATGTAAAAACAAAAACACAAACGTTGGTTCTATAGAGACTACTTTAAAGCTACCATGACCTCCCCCCCAATCTTGTTTTGGCAATCTTACATTTATGGATTGGTAAACTTCCACCTCTGTATCGTGCAGTAATCATGAATATTTTGCTTGCAGCACATACTATTATTACGAGGGCTTGAAAACCCTTCCACAAGTGCTACCAAATAATTGTGTTTTATTGCTTTTGGCACTATTGGAGTGGTTTTCTGCTCCCTTCTTGTCCTAGTAACTAAAAAAGGAATAGAGAGTAGTCTAGAGAGGAGTATTTCCATTAGGGATATAGGGACACAGGCAGGGGCGGACTGACAACTCATGGGGCCCCCGGGCAATAGGGTATCATGGGGCCCCTGTGTCCTTGCCCACACTCAAAAAAGCCTATAAAAAAGGTACCAGGGGCATCTCATGGGGCCCCCTACTTCACCCCGGGCCCTCGGGCAGTGCCCGAGTTTTCAAATGGTCAGTGCGCCCCTGGACACAGGCAACAGTTAAAAAAAAAAAATCTGACAGAGGTTGTAATTCTAAACCTTCCATATGCTGCTACACAGCATTGTTTTATTGCTGTGATTGACACTAATGGAGAGATCACAGTGGAACACAGATGAAGGCTCTCCCATAGGGCGGTAACAGAGTTTATAACCCTTTCCACTCTGTTCACTTGAAAATTTTGGCTGGTAGTTGAGTTTTATTATGGAAGTAAGTTCACAAATTACATACAATAAGTTCACTAATTACAATACAAATTAGTAGTTCACAAGATACAGTAGATAACTACAACAACTCAAATCAATATGATACTGTGGCAAAAGGGATAATTATATGCTCTAAATATTAGTATCCTGTAACATAGATTTTAGAACTTATTTCTAAACATATTTCTAGCTAATTGTTGTATTGTTTTAAATTACAGTGCATGCTGGGTACTACGTCGTCTAACAAAAATTTAATTTGATTATTTTAGCTCAGTAACAACACAACACCAGGATTGGGTCTTGTTGTCGAGATGATTCTTACCTTCCAACTGGTTTTGTGTATCTTTGCATCTACTGATGCACGGCGATCGGATAATGTAGGATCTCCATCTATTTCCATCGGCCTTTCTGTCACTCTGGGACATCTTATTGGAGTAAGTAATAAACTAAATGTCTTCTGATTGAGAATCTTCTAAACAACCATTGCACTAAGTAAGGGCATACAATCACCCACTAAAATCAATTAGATTTCAATGCTATAGTGTAGCTATGTATACAACAGTATTCTCGCCGCTGCTAAACCCAAGGTTTCCTCAGCTCTCAGTGCAGATAGACAGCACTCGCAAACAGTTCCTGATTGCCATCTACCAGCGTATAAGTGTCACAGAGTGCACATGTCTTTGGGAATACAGAATCTCTTTATTTGTCACAAATAAAAGTTACAATACTGGTTCCAAAGTTTACGTGTTTCATCCTAATGCATCGCAGACCTGTTTGGGCCTTAGTCATAGCCCATGGTTTTTACTAAGGCCCACAAAGGGCCGAAAAAACATGTTTAATTCTATTGTGTTTCAGACCTGTGTGGGCCTTCTTCATAGCCCATGGCTATGACGAAGACCCACACAGGGCTAAAGCACGTAAGATTTGGGACCAGTGATGTAACTTTTACTCATGACAAATAAAGAGATTCTGTGATACTAAAAGACATGTATTGCTATGTAACACTTAAACATTAGTGTAGCAATGTAAACCCAAATGCATGTTAAAAAATGGTAGAATTCACCTCAGTTAGATATGGCTCCTTTTTTTGGACCTGGTGATCCTACCAGTAAGTGACTCTACAGCAACTTTTTGTCCAAATTAATAAATGCACATTTTTTTTACGTGCAAAAACAAGTGTATTTATTATTTCTTTAAAAAGGTGAACTTATCCTTTAAGCCTGAGATCCTGCTTCTGTAAATATTCTGACTCTCCCAATGGACTGAAGTGGTGCACACACAGTTAAAGGGAAAATGTTTTATGTCAATTTTTTAGAAATTATTTTATGATGCGTATAAACTGATGTGTGTGTATGTGTATATGTATATATATATATATATATATATATATATATATATATATATACATTCTCAGACTGAGGCAGACCTCGCCTACTTGTTCTTGGCTGACAGTCAGAGCCAGATCGATCTCCTAGCTACAGTACAGGGAAGCTGCAAATGCAATGGGCAGCGTGAGCTATGCAATGAGCCATTGCACAAGTGAAAAGTAGGGTCTGATGAAGAGAAGATTACTTCTTGAAACGTGTCAGCCATTTCCAAGTGTCCTTTTCACATGTGGGACTCGTACACCTTTTCAGACCATGGACAATTGTCAGTCATGATATGCTTGTTTACATTTATCGTTTGTGAGTATAGATCTGCTATTTTTTACGATTAAAGTTTTTATTGAGGTAATGCGCAAGGTTTGTGCGCCCCTTTTCTTTTCTTGTTTTCTAGTAAGATATCAAGCCACTCAGGGCCAGCACCAGCATAAGGCTGCTTAGGCAGTTGCCTTAGGGTGCCAGAATTGGGAGGCATTAAAATCCAAATCCTTAGCCATTTGCTAGGGATTCAGAATTGTAACCACTTTAGTTCCAGTGTCGTTCCATGTTTCAGATGTGTTTTTTAACACACTCCCAACCTCTATACCATTTGAGAGTATGTGTACTTTTGTAAAGCTGACTATTGGCTTTCAATATGGAAGTGATACAAGCGGCTGATGGAAAATGATCTGTGTCTCCTCAGCTGCAGTGGAGTACAGAGGAGACATCCAGGATCTAAAAACCCCCAGATGTCTCATGAAAACCTGTCACCTATATGATATCAAATAGGGGGCTATTGATCCCCTACGTGATAGTGATAAAGTCATGTAAAAAGAGACACATAAAATCATTATATCATCGAATGCGTTGGGAAGTAAAAAACAGCGATTGCGATATACATGTTATATATCACCGCACATGCTGAAGTTAGGACATTTCTAGCACTGGAGCTCCTACATAACTCTAAACTGATGACCTGTAGGGGCTTTCCAAGTTTTGCCTATAAAAAAAAATATAAAGTCTTGGCATGTTGGGTGTTTATTTACTCAGCACAAGCTCATCTTTTAATATTTTACCAAAAATAGGGTAATTTATTGCATTTATGTGCCCAGAAATTAAATTTAGTGTATGCTTTACTTCAATGTTGCTTTTTATAAACCATTGCGCTAATGTTGTGTAACATAATACAAGATACAAGAGTGACACTTACTTTGGACAATTCTGACCACTCTGTGTTACAAGTAACATTGTACTCAAAGGTCCAGTCTTCCCTGTGGTGGCCATTTCTCAAATGGGATTTGCTGACCCTCAAAAAATGAGGCTCCAGGGATTTCCTGTACCACGTTTTTTTTTCAGAAGGAAGGAAAGGGAAAGGAAAAA